GGGATGTGCTTCCATGTGCTGCCAAATAAGGAAGGTGAGGGGGGGGAGAGTCCCGTGTGCAAAAGTTGAGTGCGGGGCTCTGTGCAAAAAGTTGAGTGCTGAGTGCAGCCCCTGAAGAAATCACCTGATTTCTTGGAAATCACATGATTTAAGGGAAATGGAAAACTTTCGTTTTCCAAAAGATATATAAAGGGTTCAGCCCACCAGAGGGGGTCGCTTCCTCAGAAACGCCACGCTTTGCGTTGGAGGTGACCAGGCAGCTGCTTTGAAACTTAATAAACTGCTTTTCTTTGGATGAATCAAGTTGTCCGTCCCTTTGACTCCTGCCTGCGCTCGCTCAACGGTTGCAAGCCAAGCTTTGGCCGAGGGCCCTATTGGGCAAAAGGGTCTGCTACATTTCTGGTGCCGTGACTCGGATTCTGGAGTAAGACGAGCCAAGGATCAAAGGGTGGATCCTGTTGCCAGGACGATTCTTTGATCAGCGGCCGGACTGGAGACAACCGCCGTAAGCCGAGTAAAGGGGGCCCCCAGCTGACCGGTTGCGGTACTTCTCTCTTCTGTCCACGTCGCTGGATCAAGGTAATCGCAACGACACCAAATCTCCAGAGAAAACCAGGCAGGAAGGCCAGGAGGGATCCGAAGGAGGAAGTCCAGGGGCGAAGGTTGATCCAACGTCTACAGAAATCTGGCGAGTATTAGTGGTTGAATAAAGACACTGAGGGAACATACATACCGGCGCCGGGGAAGGGAACCACTAAGTCTCCCATTGGGTTGGTGGGAGGAAAGGAGGAAGCTCTGCGGTTTCTGACGTACACTGTCGAGTGTCCAGGTGCTCAGGCCAGAGCCAGAATCCCACCCAGAAGCCATGGGAGGGGGGAGTTCAAAGCCAATTTCCCCATTGCAGTGCATGTTACAACATTTTGACAAATTTGTGGCAGCATCTAGTCAAGCAGATCCAGGAGATTTTAAGGATTACAGGTTAAGAAATTTGTGTACAGGCGAGTGGCCCACATTTCCTTTTGATTGGCCCGAAGAGGGAACTTGGGATCTGAAGAAGATTAGACAGGTAGAGGAATATTGTGCAAACAAACATCCGGACCAGTATATTTATATTGTCACTTGGGGCAATGTGGTCTCAGAGAATCCAGATTGGATAAAAAAATGTAAACAAGGACAGTGTATGGCATTCAAGAAAAAAGGAGGCAAGGGAAAAGGGAAGGTGTGGTCACAAGAGGAAGACCAACCCGAGGCAGCAAGGAGGATTGTTAGAAGACCAGCGGCCCCCGCAGTGCCTAATGCCCCTTCACTGCCAGTGGCGCCTCCATTACCACTGCCATCACCCCCACCTTATCATGGACAGGGGGAAAATAAAAGTTCATCTTTGAGATACCCAGACTTGTCGGCCCTTCGAGTTGGAGAAGGAGGACAGATTGGAAAAAAGTCCAACAGAATGCCGAGTGATGCAAGCCCGGCCCAAACCAGGAGCCGGGGCAATTTGGTCCCTACGTTTGGGTCACCCATAAATGCCCCACTGGTTGAGATGCCCATCCGGGAAGTTCCGATCCTCAATAGCCAAGATCAGATAGTGAGAACATACCAAGTGGTCCCATTTACCAGTAATGATTTGTTGAACTGGAAGAATTCCACCCCTCCATACTCAGAACAGCCCCAAGCAATGGCTAACTTATTGGAAAGTATTATGGCAACCCATAATCCCACCTGGCAGGATTGCAAACAATTGCTCCAGGTTCTGTTTACTACTGAGGAAAGGAGACAGGTGATCAATCAGGCGATACTACTGGCTCAGGCACAGCCCCCAGCGGGGACAGATGCAGTGGCTTGGGGGGCCCAACGTCTCCCGATCGAGGTGGATCCCCAATGGGACCCCAACAATCCACAACATAGGGTGGACTTGAAAGTATTTCAGGGCCTTTTGGTGGACGCTATAAGACACGGACCACCACGCCCCGCAAACATACTCAAAATACAGAGTGTTAAACAAGAAAAGACAGAATCCCCTACAGCATTCTTAGAAAGATTAGAAGATGCCTATAAAAGATATAGCTCCTACAACTTAGAAGATGACAATGGAAAGTGGGCACTGGCACAATCTTTCATTACACAGGCAGCAGATGATATAAGAAGGAAAATCCAAAAACAACCTGGGTTTTTAGGAAAGACCATGAATGAGTTATTAGCCATAGCTGACCAGGTCTATATGGCTAGGAACCAGGTAGAAGAAGAAAAGAGGAAGAGGGACAGAAAGGAAGGATACAAGACTCTCCTAACCATGATGGATGATAGAACAGGAGAAAAAAGAGACAGAGGACGAGGAAGAGGCAGTGGCCGAGGAAGAAGTGGGACCGGAAGACTAGGATGGAATCAATGCGCTCGATGCAGAAAATTTGGGCACTGGAAGGGACAATGTACAGAACAAGTAACTAGTGATCGAGGAGGTCAAGAAAATGGTAGAGGAAGAGGCCGGGGACGTGGCAGAGGACGAGGAAGTTATACACCGTACCAGGAAAAGGAGGCAATAGTGGCTGCAGTGGTAGAAGAAGAAGGATGGGAGGACATAGAAGATGGTGAATGAAGGAGCCAGGCTCTTGTTTTGTTGGACCCCGGGGAGCCTATGGTCACTATGGAAATCGGGGACCAACAAATTGACTTTTTGGTAGATACAGGGGCTGAAAGATCAGTAATAAACAAGCTAACGAGCCCACCAAGTGCTGAAACCACTCGAGTTATAGGGGTTTCAGGAAAAGTCCAGAAATGCCCTTTGCTCCAGGAAAGGACTTGTAATTTGGCTGGACATAATGTGAGTCACAAATTATTATATCTCCCAGATTGTCCTGTTCCCCTCTTGGGGCGAGACATTCTCACTAAATTAAGGGCACAGATTCAATTTATTAACACTGGCCAGATGGAATTGACTATTCCAATGGAAGAGGAATGGAGGTTGTTTCTCATAAGACAGGAAGCATCAGAATCACCGAAAGCCCAGTGGCCCTGGGAAAGGACGCCTTTGGTATGGGCAGAAGATAACCCGCCCGGCCTGGCTAAATATGTACCCCCAGTAGTGGTGGAAATAAAGAAAGGAATGGGGCCGGTAAAGAGGCCCCAATACCCTGTCAGTCGGGAAGCATCAATAGGAATACAAAAACATATTGACAGGCTACTGGAACATGGAATAATTACACCTTGCAGCTCACCCTGGAACTCTCCTCTGTTGCCAGTCAAAAAGCCAGGAGGGCAGGGCGAATTTCGCCCTGTTCAGGACTTAAGAGCAGTAAATCAAGTCACTGTTTCTTTGACCCTGGTAGTGCCAAATCCACATATCATGATGAGTTTAATACCCGCATGGACGGCGTGGTTCACTGTATTGGATATTAAAGATGCGTTCTTTTGCATCCGGTTGGCTCCGGTGTCCCAGCCGATTTTTGCGTTCCAGTGGGACACCCAGCAGGCCGGCCAAAGGACCCAATTTATGTGGACTCGTATCCCTATGGGCTATCACAGCAGCCCAACGATATTCGGACAGGCACTGGCTAAAGACATGGAGAAATTTGAAATCCCAGAGAGTGAAGGGGTGTGGCTCCAATACGTGGATGATTTGTTGATAGCCTGTAGGACAGAGGTTGGGTGTAGGCACTACACCCTGAAAATGTTGGAAACATTAGAGGAAAAAGGATACAAAGTGTCCAAAAAGAAGGCTCAATTGTGTCAAAGAAGTGTAAAATATCTGGGATTTGAAATAACTGAGGGACATCGGTCACTGGGAGTTGAAAGAAAAAAAGTTATTTGTGCAATACCAACCCCGTCCAGCAGGAGGCAGGTTAGGGAATTTTTGGGTTCAACAGGGTATTGTCGGCAGTGGATTCCAGGCTATGCTGTATTGGCCAAGCCTTTATACCAGGCCACCCGAGGGAATAGAGAAGATCCATTCCAGTGGACAGAAAAATGCCAACAAGCCTTTGAAGCTTTAAAAAAAGCTTTGATGTCATCACCAGCCCTGGGCCTACCGGATATGGAAAAACCCTTCACTCTGTTCGTATCGGAGCGAGAAGGAGTAGCAGTGGGCGTACTTACCCAGGCTTTAGGGTCATGGCAAAGACCAGTGGCATACTTGTCAAGGCAACTAGACACAGTAGCGCAGGGAATGCCACCATGCCTGCGGGCTGTGGCAGCAGCAGTAGAAGCAAACAAATTGACTTTAGGGCAGCCACTGGTCGTAAAGGTACCACACCATGTGAAGGCACTGTTAGACACCAAGGGACCACGCTGGCTCACAAACGAGAGACTGACTAAGTATGAGGGGGTGTTATGTGACAACCCAATGGTAACCCTGGAAACTTGCGCCACCCTGAATCCGGCTACCTTGTTGCCTGCCCCGGGGGAGGAGATGATCCACCAGTGCATTCAGGTGATGGAACAGGTATACTCCAGCCGACCCGATTTAAAAGACGTACCAATGTCCAACATAGACATGACCCTATTCACAGATGGCAGCAGCTTCGTGGAAAATGGTGAGAGGCGTGCAGGGTATGCGGTGGTACGGGGGGGGGGAGAGATTTTGGAAGCAGAGTCGCTCCCTCCGGGAACCTCCGCTCAGCGGGCCGAGTTGATAGCCCTCACCAGGGCACTGCAGTTGGCAAAAGGAAAGCGGGTCAATGTCTACACGGATTCAAAGTACGCTTTTACTACGCTTCATGCCCATGGAGCTTTGTACAAGGAGCGGGGACTCCTTACGTCGGCTGGAAAGGGCGTTAAGAATGCAGCTGAGATTGTGGCCCTTCTGGAGGCGGTTTGGGAACCGGATCGGGTTGCTGTAATGTAAGGGACACCAGAGGGGAGAAGATCCAGTTACGCAAGGAAATGGGTCAGCTGATTTGGCCGCAAGGGAGGCAGCAAAACACCCCCGCAATAAGCAGTGCCTGCTAACTGCAACTACATTAGAGGACCCCCCCATTAGAAAAGTTTGCATATACACAGGAGGAGAATTGGGCCTTGGGGGAAAAAGGAAAATGGAAGGGAGAGGTCATTGTGATGCCAGATAACCGCGTCTACTTCCCTAAGGACATGGCATGGCACATAGTCCGACACATGCACTACACTACACACCTGGGTAAGACGGCCCTAGCAACGTTGTTGGGACGACAGATGTACATCGATGGGCTCCATAGCTTAACGGCAGCGGCTGCACGCAGGTGCTGGACCTGCGCCAAGAATAACCCTCGAGAAGGACCCTTAAAGCCCCCAGGAGTTCAACATGTAGGCAACACCCCGTTCGAGGCAATTTTGACTGATTTCACCAAACTGCCTCCGCAAAAGGGCTACAAATATTTGCTTGTTTTTGTGTACACTTATACTGGGTGGGTAGAGGCATACCCAACCCGTACTGAGAAGGCGGTAGAAGTTTCTAGGGCACTGTTAAGAGACATAATCCCAAGGTTTGGAATACCATTGGAAATAGGATCTGATAACGGTCCAGCTTATGTACACAAGGTAGTTCAGGGATTGTGCCAAATATTGGGCACCAAGTGGAAGTTGCATTGTGCCTATAGACCCCAGTCATCCGCAAAAGTTGAAAGAATGAATCGGACTGTAAAGAATGCTATATCAAAAACCTGCCAAGAGACAGGGCTGGGATGGACTGTAGTGCTGCCCATGGTGCTATTGAGAATAAGATGTACCCCCCATAAAAGAACAGGTTTGACCCCCTATGAGAGACTGTATGGAAGTCCACCACTAAATTTGAGGTCAATAATAAACAAAGGGGGAGACCAACATGTGATTGGAGACAAACAGACGATTCAACAGTTGCAAGCTCTGGCTGGACAGATAGAAAAAATAGCTCAATATACATCAGAACTGAGCCCACCTTATCCTACCACACCTTTGCATTGTTTTTCGCCAGGTGATGAAGTGCTCATTAAAGAGTGGAAGATTGACCCGCTTGGACCAAAGTGGAGAGGACCCTATACTGTGCTGTTATCAACCCCTACCGCCATCAAAGTGAAGGAAGTCAAACCTTGGATACACTACACCCGTGCCAAGTTGGCGCCCCCTGTGTGGAAAGTGGAAAAAGCGGATCAGAGTGACCTGAGACTCAGGATCGTCCGGCAACCCCCTGTGGGGTCAACAAGGCCATGAAGCTGACCCCATCGGGTACAATAGAACGTCGAAGGTCAAATATGTCGCAGTGTGGCCCAACAAAAGCACTATCCTGGAAGTGGTGGAAAGACATTATGATGGGAAGGGGAGGAGGAAACACCAGGAAACCAACAGGAGTTCGGACAATATTTGGGTTCCTAATGCTCATAAATATGATCACTGTGATACAGGGAAATTGGCTAAAAGAGCATGCAAGACTTATGTTTGCCCAACATGGTAAAGACGTGTCTCTTATATATGAACATCCAGAAAAAATAGGTGACTTATCCTTCCTCCCAGCACTAATAGAAGACCCTCAGGTGGTGCTTGGGGGATTGCAAGGAAGTATTCAAAATCCCACTATGTTTTCCCAGGTTCCTGATGGACTAAATCAAGCCAGGTTTAGACGAATAAGATACACTGCCACTACGCGAGGAATGTGTTTTTGTTGTGGAAATAAGGGTACATGGAATCAAAGGTGGAGAGATTGGGAACGCAGAAAAGCCTTCCTAATAGGGTTAAAGAATTATACTTACTGCACAGATAGGTTCTATCTACATGGAACCCATAATTCTACCTATACCAATAGACAAAATTTGGCAGACACAGATTGGAAAGAATTATACCCCGAATATCCCATGTTTGATTCAAATTACACTACCTTGAATAGTGGTGGTAGTATTTGTTCAGGATGGCAAATTAGAGATCCTAATATGTGGTTTTTCTTTGACAAATGGGCCACCAATTACCATCCGGGAAGATACCAGTGTGTTGGGGTGGGATATTTAACATTCCCTGTGAGAGTTCTCAGACACCCCAAAACCCTCACAAGACTTCGAAGGTCCCTACAACCCGTGGCGCCTTTAGGACCCGAGTGTTCAGACGAAGTGATCATAAACTCTCCCTTGTCTGACACTGAGGGCGCACGGGTGGGAGGGGGATTGATAACAGGAGTCCTGACTCTCGGATCCTACCCAGGTATAATTGCCCAAGAGAATAGAAAAAGTATTCTAGGGCTCACGTGTAGATTAGAGAAAAGCATAAATGCCACCGGAAAAATAGTTAAACAATTACAATCTGAAATTGAAGAGCTGAGCCAGATGGTGTTACAACACAAGTTGGCCCTGGATTATCTGCTGGCAGCAAAAGGAGGATTTTGTTCTATAATAAAGGGCCATTGTGTGGTTCAATTTCATGATCTCAACCAAACGATTGAAGATGATTTAGAAAAATTACAAGAATTAATAAATCATAATGTAAAAGAAGATGGGTGGAAACCTTTCTCGTGGTTGACCTCCTGGCTCCCTTCAATATCATGGCTCAAAGAGTTGATGTTTATAATCATATTATGCTGTGTCATTTTTCTATTGCTAATATGTTGTTTTCCAATTATGCTCCAAGCCTGCCAAAAGTGTATAATGCAAGTAACCCCAATAAGAAAGATAGGCCTCATCCAGAAAAAAAGTTGGAGGGACCCATAATAACCTTTGCTGATTTGCTTTCGCTTTTGTAAAACGCTTAGCAAAAAAAAAATGGAGAAATGAGGCAGCCTTATTGTTGTAGAAATGGGAATAAGGGATGTGCTTCCATGTGCTGCCAAATAAGGAAGGTGAGGGGGGGAGAGTCCCGTGTGCAAAAGTTGAGTGCGGGGCTCTGTGCAAAAAGTTGAGTGCTGAGTGCAGCCCCTGAAGAAATCACCTGATTTCTTGGAAATCACATGATTTAAGGGAAATGGAAAACTTTCGTTTTCCAAAAGATATATAAAGGGTTCAGCCCACCAGAGGGGGTCGCTTCCTCAGAAACGCCACGCTTTGCGTTGGAGGTGACCAGGCAGCTGCTTTGAAACTTAATAAACTGCTTTTCTTTGGATGAATCAAGTTGTCCGTCCCTTTGACTCCTGCCTGCGCTCGCTCAACGGTTGCAAGCCAAGCTTTGGCCGAGGGCCCTATTGGGCAAAAGGGTCTGCTACACTACGATATAATCCAGATTATCAAAGCAGAAAATTCACATTGTCTGCTTTGAACTGGATTATCTGAGTACACGCTGCCATATAATCAGGCAAATAATGTGGATTTTATATGGCAGTGTAGAAGGGGCCATAGTCTCTACCTAAACTGGCTTCAAGAGCAATCCTAGGGGCACCAGTTGCTCCAATGGTTCTTCCCCCTCTCTCATCACTCCCACGGCTCTTATGTTCAAGCCACTTGCTTCCCAATTGAATATTTTGTGCTGCCAGATTGAGAGAATGTGCATCACACAGCCTGGAATTAATTGAAAATGAAAGGCTTTCCGTTAAAGGCAAATTGTTTAATGAAACAAATTGTTGTGCTTTTTTTAAAAAAAAAAAAAAGCACTGCTTCTGGGCTGAGACCTTGGATAACAAGTTTCAGCCTTGAGTGAAATTTTATGCCTGAGTTACAAAACCACCGATAGTGGAGGATTTAATAGAAATTAAAACAGAGTATTATTAATTGTAATAGTGCCAATATATTACAAAGAACAAGAGGGTTTTAAAAGAAGGCACTAAGTAGAAGCAACTTCCATTCTTGTTAGCTGTTTTATTGGAGCTGATACCTCCCCTGGTGGTTCTGTATATGCATGGAAAAGATAAAAATAGACAAATGCCTACATACTTATTAAGCACATCTCCTGAAAGTACATATATAAAACAGCCTCCTCCCTAATTCACAGGCAACACAGGTGTCTGAGGAAATGTATTTTTGATGAGAAATTAAATGAATCTATGGAGTCCACTTCTTCGATGCAGAAGAGAATAAAAGATGTAACTAAGCAGTTATGAAGTACATGTCATACAGTTAGAGAATAAAAGAGGTGGTAATGATCACATCTAGTCCACCACTTTGCCAAGCAGGACACACTACAATACACTAAATCACAATACTCCAGAAGACAAGAGCAGAATTCAAAAAAATCTTAACAGATTAGAGAGATGGGCCAAAACGAACAAAATGAAGTCCAACAGGGACAAATGCAAGACAGTCCACTTAGGCAGAAAAAATGAAATGCAAAGATACAGAATGGAGGATGCTTAGCTCGACAGCAGTGCATGTGAAAAAGATCTTGGAGTCCTCCTGGACAAGAAGTTAAACATGAGCCAACAATGTCATGCAGCACCTTAAAAAGGCAATGGGATTTTGGCCTGCACCAATAGGAGTCTAGTGTCTAGATCCAGAGAAGTCATGCTACCCCTCTATTCTGCCTTGGTCAGACCACACCTGAAATACTGTGTCCAGTTCTGAGCACCGTAGTTTAAGGGAGATGTTGACAAGCTGGAATGTGTCCAGAGGAGGGCAATTAAAATGATCAAGGGTCTGGAGAACAAGTGACTAAAATGATCAAGGGTCTATGAGGAGCGGCTTAAAGAGCTGGATATGTTTAGCTTGCAGAAGAGAAGGCTGAGAGGAGACATGATGGCCATGTATACATATGTGAGGGGAACTCATAGGGATGAGGAAGTAAGCTTGTTTTCTGCTGCCCTGGAGATTCCACTTGAACATGCGGAAGAACTTCCTAATGGTGAGAGCTGTTCAGCAATGGAACTCACTGCCCCAGAGTGTGATGGAGGCTCCTTCTTTGGAGGTTTTTAAACAGAGACTGGGTGGCCATCTGTCAGGGGTGCTTTGAATGTGATTTTCCTGCTTCTTGGTAGGAGGTTGGACTGGATGGCCCATGAAAGATAGCCATCTAACCTCGGTGTAAAGATATCCAAAGAGGAAGCATCTACCAGATTCATGCAGTCAGTGTAACCAGTGAACAGCTTAATGGTTTCTACTACTATTTATTATCTCTAGAGGTCCCATTTACCAGTATAAAAGGGCATCCCAGTGGAACAGAGGGACATATTTCCAGATGACTTTTCACTTTCAATGTCCAAACACAAATAGACTGTTTGGAAAATAGGATAAGAAATGTTTGTGTACTCTACTTGAAATCTGGGGTGCCTAGAAAGATAGATTTCCAATGCTGTATGAAAAAGTAATTAGACATTCTTGGAGTTTATAATGCAATCAAAATATTCCTTTGAAGAACTTGGAATCCAGTCTTAATTTTCCTTTGACACATAGAAAAGGAATTGAAACCCTAATTTCAGTTTGGCTCTGAAAGAGTCCAGTTTATGTTTTTCACGCATAAAATGTAATTTCATTAGGCTTCATTTTATGCTTTTACTGTAAAAAAAAAAGAAGACAATTTTTATGATGCAAAATGTTACTGTTTCACCGGCTACAATTATAATTGCATCTTTGGTCACATTGCTGCAAGCAGCATGATAAGAGAATAGTAATGTAATGCACAACTTTGGATGTTTTTGCAATCAGTTCAGTACCTGATCACAATGCTAGTTTATATAACCTTTCCCCTCGTAAGTCATGGACACTTAGAAGACATAGAACACATTTCTCAAAGAATAACAATAGTTATCATATGAGTGCATGACTGAGCACATCTACCATCTGGCTAAAAAAATTAAAATTAAAAACTATATATGCTCATATATAAGTTGATATCATGTATAAGCCAAGGGCAAGTTTTGAGGCCAAAATTATGGATTTTGAAATGACCCATGAAGGAGCAACTTCAAGGAGCCAGCTGCTCCTGGCCACCGCTGCCATTTCTCCACCCAGGCACACAAAAAAGGCAGAAACTGTGCCATGGTGGAAGTTGCTGCTTTTTAAAAGGTTCTCCTGGGATGGACTAAGCTCTTGCCTTTTGCCACTCTACTCAGAGAAGGAGATAGTTTCTTATTTGAGAAGAGTTAAGGTACAATAGTTGTACTAACTCATCAATAAGCTGTTGTCCAGAATCTTAAAAATAGGTTGCAATTGAGGGGTTCACACATGAAACATTTGTGTAATTATCTAAGGATTCCCCATGCATGTTCCTGATGATTATGCATACAGTTGTATGTGTATTAAATTTGCTATTACTTTGGCTAGATGAATAGAGATCCTAGCTAGGCCTAATGGAAATGACTGCAGTGG